CTTTTGTAGGACCAAATTTAACAGCGTACTGTATCACCATTGCTCCTAGTTGCCTGATGAAAGAAAGGGGAGACAATATAGCACACTAAGGCTTTATGGCATTTGAGCGCCTGCAGCACCAGATGTTTTTTCGCCCCATTTCATTCGTTAGGGCCACATCACGCTCATCGCAAAGAGTCGTTCAGGAGCTGGCTTTTCTTATATGCTATGCTAAACATCAAAACATGTTCGTATGCCAGATTAACATACTTCTCATCGAAAGCAATATTTCATAGCGTATAGCATGGAGCCGGGGACAGTTTAAACGTCCATCTAGGTCTCTTGGAGCAATGGAACCCAGCGATTCTGGTCTTGCTGAAGTTTTGCGTTATGTGGCAAATTCTGGCGTATAAAGATAATTCGATGCTTATGCATTGACCTACTGTGAAGCGATATAGTTCTTGATTCCATGGTTTGCTGCACGAATATTAAAAACAGTTCTTTATTGGAATATACTATACTGTTTCAGCTATAACTTAGCGTTTCAAGGCGGTCTTAACTTCTGACATGTCAAGTTGTATTTTGTAAGGGATAGATTACCGACGGCGCTAACTAAGAGAGTTCAAATTTGAGACCTGCCCATCAGGGAAAAGCTACTCTGTACATCGATAGCTTCTTCTGACAGTGTTAAGAGATCGGCTTTGAACTTGGGAGGTACCGTGTTCCAATGGGCTTAAAGGACAATCATTTTCTTTACCGCTAATTCTTTTGACCAGCGAATTAATTATACAATGGCGTCGGCTAGTAAGTCGATGACCAGCGAAAAAATAGAAAGACAACGATAGTCCGGTCTGGTCATATAAGAATGGATTAAGTGCACGTCTTTAATGCCCGATGCGACTGTTTTATAGGGCTATAGGGCTGAACTGAGTCTTAACCCACGTGACAGCTGACCGTCCGGTGCAATGGTCAGCACAGGGTGCAAGCCTGATTTTGAAAGTCGTTGTTCTCAGAATGGACGGCAGTGATGACGAGTCCTAATGTCCTTCGCTCGCGGTGTTCAGTCGAGCTGAGGGGCGTCGACAGGTGCAGGAACACCGTTTGACTGCGTGGAGCACCGACGATCGTCGAGGCTAAAAGGGCGGTCAGCTTACTTAAGAGAATTAGTCGACCTCTTATGTCATTGTCACAGACCATTAAGCAACCGAGGGGGTAGATAAAGTTTTGTTCTCGATCTTCGATCGGCATTGTAATCTCTGTGAAGCTCCAGAAAGCTGTTAATTATGTCAGACTGCGGTCATCGCACGTCGTGGATGGGCTTGCTTGACCAGTGGTCAACGATTTTGCGACAAACACCGATTGGTCCAAGCTCGCAGGAGGGCGTGACCCTCGCGTACATCGTCCAGCACGTTTCCACTGCCACAAATCCGCCGGTTTTGTTGTTCAGCGAGGTCGCAGATATGACTCTGACCACTCGCTAGCTCTTCTCCATTCGTTCGTTTGTCTCTGTCAAAATGGCTATTTCCAACGGACGCATTCTCTGTGGCGACTACTACATGGTAAGGAAACTGTCTGATCACTTTCAAAAATGATATAGAATAACTTCATAATTTATACGGTACCTCTGAACCTGCGTGGGTCAGGACCCATTTTCCTTACCCATTTTCACATGCACCAATGTCTCATATTTGTGAACCTCATTTTACTAACTTCGAAAGAACATCCCTTAAAGTCAAGGTAGGGAACATGCTCAGATTTATGGTATCCAGAAAGGTCGCATGGGGTCCTTGAAACAGTTTCCTCTATTTAAATACAATTTCTGCGTATTTCATCGCTTTAGGATTT